GAATTAAAAGTCGATACCACCAATGTAGAAGTCCCATTTGAGATGCCAAAGAATAAGCAATTGCGGTAATTTAAAACATGCATAGTTGTTATGTATATTTTAAATTGCTGCAATCTTCCTTAATCACTCTCAACAAAAAGAAATACACCTCATACAGCAGACAATGCTGTGTCCTGTCCTCTCACTCACACTCGTGGATTATTTGTCTTGCCTGTGCACATAATGAATCACTTTGGGACCTTCTGTGGACTCATGGATGGGATATTGTTTGGAAATATGATTTTCTATCAACAACATTTCATGAAACACAAATGGCAAGACCCATGACATTAAAGGGAGTAAGAATTTCTCTTTTAAATATTGCTCTGTGTATTTTATACATCTAACGCTAAAACTTTTAATATGCCATCATTATTTGACTAAAGCATCCCGTGGCTTCACCACTCTCCCCAAAACTGTTTAGAAGGTGCACTGTTGCTTTATTGGTGCGGCCCCCTGCCTTCACAAATCACTGCTACCCACTGCCCCCCGCAGAGTGCCACATGCATTTGCAAGCAGATCTATGTTTAATGAAAGGCAGTTAATGTATTATGTTTTTTGAAACTGTTCAAAAAATAGTGCGTTTGGTTCTGGCTGCTCTGCAATTAAAATGTGCGTCACCAGTACAGCAAACATCAAAACGATTAAAAGTCCAACACACAAATATTCAATGGGACTTCGAATGAAAAGTAGTCCGTCCCAACTTATCTCAAGGTCATCTAGATAGTTCTTGTTTTGTTAAAATGAGTTGTATCCACTTTACCCCAAGTGTCTCCCCTTACATGGTTAGCCCTGGTTTAGAAATAAACTTTCTTTTTTATCATTTAAAAAAAAATCTGGTTCAGTACCAGATTGGGAAAATGCACAGAGAGTTGCATTATCTTAACTAATCCTGTTTCTCCAGTACATGTTTGCACGTTTACTGGAGAAACAGGTTGTGACAAGTTCACATAAGGAAAAATTAAATTTTCTTTCATGTCTTCTTAAGGTCCATTATTTTTTCAGAAATGATTTCTATGTGGCTTAATGCTACAATGTTGAAAGGGGTGTTTCTTTTTGCTTTCTACAAAGTCAGAAGTTTAATTTTAAGTATTTTTACTTAGTCAAGTTGTCAGCCTCCAGTTTCCACTGTTTGTTTATTTTTTATCTTTTTTATAAAAACAATAATGAAAACAAAACATAAACTAAAATAAAAACTAAAAATATGCTCACTAGGTAAATCCTCCAGCTCCGGTCCTGACCAAGCCAAGCATCAACATCTGGAGATGGGTTCCCAGGCGCTGTTACTACGGCGACCACTGCTCCTGACGTAAGCCCTAGCAGCATCAGGATGGGTCAAATCAGAGCATGAATTGCCCTACGGGAATTAATAAAGTGCACCTTTACCTTACAAAATAAAAATGAAAAATAGACCCCTCCTGAACAATGGATCAGCGCTTCAAACCTCAAACAGATTATACATACACACACACATGCGTAAAAACCAAACAAAAGTGTTATTTTTTCAGCTTTGGTGCCGAATGGATGTTGGATAGTAATTTGCTGGAAAGTATGGTAATCTTTGAATAGAATTTGATGTGTTGAAACATATTATGTCAATGCTTAAGAAGGATTTCAGCAATATACATATATCCATATAGCTTTTGTTTGTAATTTAATGAATACGTCTGTGTTACTTTTATATTATATCCACAGTAATTCAAATTGGGTAGAACAAGAGTGTTGACTGCATGTGAAAGGTTTGAGAATGTAAACAGTTTCACTTGTAATGAAATAAACTATGTGTGTCGGCTAAATTCACTGAAGCTAATTAAGAAAGATGCACCACTCTTACAGTGCAGAACACTTATGAAACACCCCCTTCTATTGATTTCTTGCAGAGGGTGATAAAAAAATGGCCCATATTTTTATTTGTGTGTTGCAGAGATGTCCATCGTTCCCTAAGCGAACGTTGGAGCTAATTGATTTTTCCTGGGCTGCAGTGAGTGAGGAGAAGAGCAGATTGGAGGCATACAACGGCAGGCAGGAAAGCACTGTGGAGCTCTTGTTTTGTTAGCACCAGCATTAGTCACATGGGATGGGAATACATTTGAGCCGTAAAACACAGAATGAAGGAACAAGACGCGAGCCAAGCGTCTAACTGTGTCATGCCAGTGTGGATCAACAAGGGAAAAAAAATATCACAAATTTAATTACACATTTATGGGACCGACAATGACAATCTAGAAACAGACAGTGATATATTGAAAACAACCGTTATGAAGGGCTTATGGCAAGATGGGTGTAAAACAAAGCAAATCATGTCAAGAAGAGACTAACCACTGCACAATACCACCACAAATATGACAGAATGGCTGTACACAGTGGGGAAAAAAAGTATTTAGCCAGCCATCAATTGTGCAAGTCCTCCCACAAAACTCTATAATGGTGGGCTCGGCCATTTGGTGGATCACTTTATGAGTCACTAATACTACTTGAATCTTGGAACTGAAATTGTGCCCCTAGAACTTAGAAAATCCACCAACAAAAAAAACATTACTTTTTTCAAGGGGTGAACATGAATTAATGAGATGAGAGATGCCGGTGATTTTTAATTTATACCTCAACTATGAGAGACAAAATGAGGAGAATCCAGAAAAAGAATTTCAAAATGAGCAAAGAATGTATTTGCAAATTATGTTGAAAAATAAGTATTTAGTAAATTACAAAAGTCCATATCATAATTTATTGTAGACCCTATGTTAACAATGACAGAGGTCAAATGTTTTCTGTGAGTCTTCACAAGGTTTTCACGCACAGCTGCTAGTATTTTGGCCCATTCCTCCTAGAGAAGTTACAGGTCTGCACAAGCCAGACATGATTGTGTTCACTGAATACTTTTTTACACAATAATTTGCAAATAAATTCAATCAGACAATGTGATTTTCTTGATGATTTTTTTCTCATTTTGTCTTTTATAGTTGAGGTATACCTGTGATGAACAATACAGGCATCTCTCATCTTTTTTTAAATGGGAGTACTTTTTAAGAACAAGTGTTTCTCTTGATTTGTGTTCAGTTTTTGTTCCTATAAGCAGTTTTTGTGCACTGATTCTAACACCGCTTAGGCATAATTGGCTTGAAAGAACCGCAAACTTTTCCACCCTGATTAAATATTTTGTTTGTCTGAACCCAGACTAATATTATGACCAAAAACAGTCTGTTGTGAACTCTATGCTGCTAATATAAAGGAGCATTATTGATATTTCATCCATCCATCCATTTTTAATACCATGGTTTCACTGTACAGTATTCCAGCTATTGTCGCATCCCTACGGCACAATAGGAGTCCCCATTTTTGTGGGTACTGGACCAAACAGATACAAATTTGATTACCAGCAATAAGACAATATTTGACCGCAGAGACTGTGTATGAAGCCTGTCAAAAAGCATCTAAAAGCTCCACATAGCTTCCAGGAAGTCCCCTTTTTCCACATTACCATGATACAAGACACAATTCCAATAGATCTGGATCTGTGATGTTGTGAAAACTGCTTCTATCCACAGCTGGGTGTGATAAATACAAAGAGGACATTTTGTTTTGTTTTATTGGCTTTGGTCCTACATGCATTAGCCTCCATTCGACAGCTACTTGCATTTAAAGTGACGTGCAAGTGCATTGACTAATCTAAAGCTGCATTTTATTGACTCACATTGATTTCTTCAAAGCCTACTTCTGCGCAACTCACCTTAAAGATTGACTTTAAATAGAACTGCTGTCTGATGCCGGTGATCTCCATGACAGCAGATTTACAGGCCCATAACATAATAAATACCGTAAGCCCTGCACATATTATGGATGTGCTCCTCGTCAGCTGGCCCCTTTGTGACATTTTGAAAGGGTAAAAACGGCATCACTCACACCCGGACACGTGGCTTTGACCTCTACATCATCAGGAGATATCAGCCCCCACACCTTCTCCTACCCCCCAGCGGAGCTCAATGCACCGATTAAACGACCCGCTTCAGATTAGCTCATTCCTGTGGAGTTTGGACAGTGCACAATCATTTCATCTGGAGATCCTGCCGTGAACACCGCCCACGTACAGACATAAGCACAGGGTCAGGTGAGAAATGGCATTTATGATGAGTCTGACATTAGGAGCTAAATTTAAGACGAAGGCAGAATGTAATAGTGTTTGTGTATTCGTGTTTTAAAAAAATACTGATTTAGAATGTTAGGTACGGCCACAAGAACTGTGCAGTCTTAAAGGGCCTCTCCTGACCATGAAGAAAACAAAAAAAAGGTGTTCTATAGCTTCAAATTGCTTTTTGTTATCTTTGATTTGGGTTATCTTATACTTACTTACATGCAAGCATAGACCTTGCCTTATTTTGCAAGAACATCATGTTATTTTGGTCTACATTATAGTCCTATAGACTGCAGAAGAGGCCAATGCCACGCCATGTTAGCTGTTAAAATATTAGGCTTTATAACCAGCAAACAGCCTTTTATCTGGTTACACCTACACACGATAATGCTGGGCTCATTTCTGAAACTTAAGTGCAGATATGAAGAAAGAGTGTGACAGGAGTAAATATTTCAATCCATAACAGTTTAGGCTCCAACCATCAACAGCAGCTCGGTAGGCAGAGAAGCAGGCCAGTTTGTTCTTAGAACCTGCAAGGCATCTTTTTTCTGCCCTTAAATGGGCAGATTTAGCCAAAGATTGTCTGGCTTGACCGCTGTGCTCCTCAGCAGTCAGTCAACAGCACACCATTGATTTCTTTGATACAAGGTTGGGATAAAGGGCACAGTAAAAGTATGTGAACAAAACTGATTTCTGCTGGTCTGGTTAAGTTCATGACAGCGTGTCTCTGCTCTATTATAGTAACACTGTCCCATGATCTTCTACATTGGCTTTAACAAGTACATTGAGATACAACAGAGCTCTTTCACTGATGTCAGGGGCTGGCAGCTCTATGTGGTGCAGACTGGGGTCAGTGCAGCAGTTAGGCTGTGTCTGCCCATTACTGTTATAGTCTGAAATACAGGTCATCAGAGAAACACTGCTGCTCTACTGCCATCTAACGGTCACTATACATACTGGAAAATGTACTGGATTCAACTTTTTCTCGACTTGCATTAGCCACACAATTAATGTGTCAGTAGAAATAAACAATACTGGAGTTTTTGATACGAATTTTACTTGGAATAATATGTTACTGCATCCTTTGCTTCATCTTATCTAAAAAAAAAAAATAAAAAAAAAATATCAATATCCGGAGGCGAAAAAAAGAAAGAAATTTTGACTCTGCTGTCGCTCTTCTCTTCTTTTTTGGCATCCGGATTAAGCGCATTCATCCATTATGAAAAAGGCTCTATTTTAGTAAGTAGATATTAAATAGTGTGGATGAACTTCCCTGCTCAATTTTATTTCCAAATTTTAAAGATGCACGTCCCATGAGTATCAAAAGTATAACAGGAAAGGACTGTAGAGACAAGCAGACCACGGACTCTCCACCAATATAGATCCACCCATGGATCTATAATAACTGCACCGCTCACATTATTCCACTTCCACTCACTCTCAAGTATAATGAGGCTGTGTGCTACTCAATAGGTTCCGAATCTTTTAAAATAGATATACACTCTGCATAATGCTTGAGACTGTCTATAGAATATAACTTGCATGCCATTATGATGTGTGATGATGCATTTGCATAAGACCGCCGCGAGGGGGCACTGCGCGCACCGTCAACAAACATGACCCTTTTTGTCTAGTCTGCATTTCGGTCTAATTCATCATTTTTAGTGACATAGATGAAATAAGTAAAGTAAGACAGTAAATAAAAACTGCACTTTCAAACAAATGTAACTGTTATTCAAATATGTGATTTACCCGTGGTGACGTCACAGGATGGTCGGTTGATCGCAGACAAATCGAACAAAGCGGAAGTCATTGTGAGAAACTAAACCGAAGAAATACTTGAGCTTCTGAGCTACCGCGCATCGTATCATCCAACGAATATTATTGACTGATCACTCTTTACATCCTCTTGGACCAAAACGTGTGTTTGCGGGTCTTTGGTCTTGGAGGCGGATTGTCAGGTAAACTGAAATGTTCGCTGAGCCGTTCATGCTGTGGTCATGTAACAGTGTTGTGTGTGGTAGCTTCATGTTAGACCTGCACAGAAGCTAATAACTCATGTGTCTGTGCTGCTGTTGAGCTTTTCTCTGACTGAACTAATGTTTACACAACGATCACGTTATAACGATATAGGCTTAACTAGATACATCAGCTGCGATGTTGTGAATAACGCTCGACTCTAGGTGTAACTAATGTATAAAATACAGTGATTCTATAGGGTTGTTTTGAAAGCAGAACACATTGATATGAATGCAAATGTATAGCTAACTGTGGAGATATTAAAATGGCAAGGTTTGCTTGGTTTAAATGTTTCTAAAGATGTTACGAGTTAAACTGGAGTACTGAACCTTACTAGAAAAATATCTAACAATTATTTTCCAACTACTTTACAAGTCTCACATCTGTTTGACTCCATCCCATGCATGTAATTATGATCTAGTAAGTATACGATCAAATGTTTTATAATAAGTTGAAGACAGAATGTTGTGGTCATTATTTCTTCACAAACTTTAACTTCAAGAACACTCTGACGCCAAAAAAACTGTTTGGAAAAAGAAATGTTGTGCCCCAAAATAGAATACTGATCTTTTATTTGCAGGATGGATCCTGCTCTTCTGAGGGAGCGGGAGCTGTTCAAGAGGAGAGCTTTGTCCACTCCGGCTGTTGAGAAAAGACCTGCTGCTTCTGACTCCAGTTCACACAAAAAGAAGAAACCCAAAGTTGAGAAGGACAGCTCCTCAGGAACCAAACACGGCTCCGGTCAGTACATCTGATGACTGAAATCAATGACATCAAGTCTATAATGCATCTTGAGGCAAAAGAAAATTATAATAATGTTTTGTTAAGAACTTTTTTTTATACAAATTGAAGTTTGGTTTGGAGGACAATTACTATAATTCCAATGACAATGACAAACTAAAACTCAAAAGAATAATAAAAAAAGTTTGACCATTTTACCAAAAATATTACTTTTAGTTTATTTCTTAATCTTTTTTGTACTGTAACGTCTTATGTGAGTAATCCAATACTTTTCTGTTTGTTCACACAAAAGATTTTTCCTTTTTCTATAACTTAACATTTGACTTTGATATATAAATGTATAACACCTGAAAAAAGCAATAAATAGATTTAGTTTTTTGTATTTATTTGATAACAAAATAAAAGTACAGTGTGTGCAAATGGCAAAACGATTCACAACACTGCCAAGCAACATGTCTGTTTGAATATGTGGCTTTCAGGAATACTGGAAACCCAGCAGAAAATCATCCACAGCATTCGATAATCACCTTTTTGCTCATGACACTTGTAATTGTTCATATCTGCTTTTATTGACTTCAGCCAGCCAAATGTAAACACTAGACTGGCAAATCTCTCTGTTTTTCTTGCACTGAGTGGTTCAAAATAAAAAATATACTTTACAAGATTTAGTCAGCACTTTGGTTATAAGGTCTCTGTTTATAAAGAAAAATTTGTTTAAAAAAAAAGCTAAACTCAGTGCTCAGTGTGACTGCAGATTATGGGAACTGTGTCGATAGTTGCGTTCATATTCTGTTATATGGAGGAAAAGTTTTAGCTACAATTATAATAGTGTTTTCGTTTTATTTCACCATGTCTAATTTAAAGAAGAAACATGATGCTAAAGATCCTTACAGTGAAATACAAACCCGTACCTTTTTCAAAATGATACAAATTCATGTCATCTTTGCCCCCCTGGTCCTTACTTTCTAACACACTTGGGCTCTGAAATACATTGGTCTTGATTTCATACGATCTCAGTCTGTGAGTCGGGCGGCTTGCACATGCCGGACATGAGCCTGCTGCAGCTGCCCGGGCCCTCGGCTTGCAGCTGCAGATGTGTCTTTCCTTTGGCACAGCAGCCACAGTCCAGCAGCTCGTACAGAACGGCTAACGCAGCCAGAGATATGACTGTGACGATAAAGAGGAGGAGGATGATGAAGCAGGCGATGTTCCAGCCGTCGTGAAAGGGGTAGATCTCCTGGACTTGCATGGACATCAGGGGTTCGGCCTCGGAGAAGTGACCTAATGTGGTGGTGTTGGCCATTCTTTCTGATGGAAGAGAAAGAACACAGATGTTGATATAGTGAAGCTTTGGACGACTGAATAGTTTACTAAAGTATTTAAATTTGCCTTGTCCATTTCGAGTGGTCCACCATTTTTACTCCTAGATAGCTACAGACCGTGACTCGTGCATCCTGTGACAAGATGCACTTACTCCTATGCTCTTCTGCACGGCGATGCACTTTTAATTCTCTCTTTTAATTCTCACGATTTATTTTATTATAATCAATGAGTGTAGTTACTGTTTCTTGACAAAGGCTGTTACTGTAAACGACAAAGGGAGTTCATGTTCAATGCTAGCTTGATTTAACATGCTATTTGAAACTGTAACATGAACTTGATTTAGAACTCTCTGTTCACTCACTAGTGTTTAACGCAGTGGGGAGAAACCTAAAAACAGAAAAAAATAAATCCCAAAGATAATGGAAGCATTGTAGATAATATCATTAATATGTAATAAAAATGTATTGGTTTGATCTACCTTTCTCTTCTAATTGAAAATCGTCATTATAATGGCAAACAGAGCTCATATAATTTGCCCAATTGCCCTGATTTGCTCTGTCCTGCCCACTCAAATCCCGCTGGGTGTTTTTATCTGTATTGACGGGGAGACCTGCCTCCAGCATCTGCTGCCTCATGACTACGCCCCACCCCAGAGAGGTGAAGAGGGGGCAGACACTCAATGATTATGGCTTGTATCAGTCCTGCCTGTCTCCACATCTGCCAGCCCACACATCCTGTCCACGCAACACGACCATGTTTGGTTTGAGGACAGGAGCATGTTTATTTAATCACACGTGTCGTCCTCTTGGCTTCAGTCATACATCTCTGCTTTCTTCTCTCTCTGGCGTGTTATTGTACAGTGTGGATTTATTGCCTCTGCAACAGTCTGTGCTCTAAAATTGAAGCACAGAATTGATCCAGAATTTGAAACCATTTGCACTCAGCGGGATAAACTGGTCTCCTGAACTCTTGAGCATTCTTATTATGGCAGATATACAGCCTAAGTAAAGGCGTTAAAATAAAGTCTCTTACCGATGTGCTTTGGTCCTTTGACGTTGTGCCACCTGGCTTGCCCACGCTGTCCCTCCCTTAGTTTCTCCTCGTTCTCCTCAAGCAGCCTCAGTCTCCTCTTGTGCACCCGATGGCTCCCTACGCCACTCCTTGCAGCTCTCTCATCAGTAGTGCAGGCTGCTCTGTCATTGGCTCATGGCTCTTAGCCCTGCCTCTGCATCATTCGTCCAACAGCCTGTCCAAAACCTGAACGTCCCGCCCACAGAGCTCTCAGGTACCACCCATAGCCTGAATAATTCATAAGGCTGTGCAGCGTTTCCCTTTTCAGTGGTAAAAGTCGGGGACAGACAGTCTCCGCGGGGGAGCACTGTTGTGAACAGATCCAGCTGGGCCAACCTGGCATCACTCCTGATCTGTTTGGTTCATCTGATAGAGACTTGATACATTCAATTATGGTTTATTTTCTTACTGCCCAAAGCAATGAATAAGCTGTCATAAATAACTAAACTAGAAAATGACCTTCATTGTGGCCGATGTACTAGTTTCCTCTGTATTAGCTTTGCCACTGCACGTTACTGTAATTTATTTTTATGACATTTTCATTTTTTCATTGATGAATAATGTGATTCCTGAAAGACTTTTTCAGATGCAAATTCAATCGGTATTTTCCAGAAATAAGCGAAATAAATGGGTTGGGGTTATACCATCAACATTTTACAGTTTAACGTCTGTTTTAAGCGTAACATATTGGGAAAACGAATTACTTATTTTCTTTTTCTACCACAGAATCCACAAATGGCATCAACATTAAGACGAGCTCAGGCTACAAGTTCGGATGCTTGGCCAAAATAGTCAATTATATGAAAGTAAGTGTTTTTCTCTTGTCATTGCCTTCGATTCAAGGAAAAGTACAACAGACATGTTCTTGTTCAGTTCCGTGCAGGTCTGAGTTTCAAATGATAGAATAATAATCAGGCTGAGACCATGTTTTTTTTTATTTGTATTTTTGTGATTTTTTTTATTAACATTTTATTCAACAATACAGTAAGAGACAAACATGACAACATAATGAGATACAATAAGCAACAAAGAAGCAGAAGATGCAGGAAAGAAAGAACATTCGACAAACCAAAGGGAACTGAAGCTGAGACCATGTTTAATCTGAGACTGTTGTGAAAATAAGTTTGTCATGATCTTTAATCTAATTGAAAAACTAAGAATTTTACCAATCAGAAATGCGGAGGTACTTTGTATAGTTTGTACCAATTAATGTATGTTTTATGGACTCAGGAAGTGTTGGTCTCGAGGAATTAATGGGGATTTGTTTCTACTGCAGACGAGGCATCAGAATGGGGACACTCACTTCCTGACACTAGATGAAATTCTGGATGAGACCAAACTCCTCGACATTGGCATGAAGCAAAAACACTGGCTCATGAATGAGGTGGCTTTTTGATTTGTTTAAACTATTTTTGCAGCTAACATTAGTTCAATTCTAAAATGTATTCTTTCAAATGTAGGCTCTTGTCAATAATCCAAAAATTGAAGTTCGAGATGGAACGTATGGGTTTAAACCAAAGTACAACCTAAAAGACAAAAAGGCTCTTCTGAGGCTACTGGACAAACACGGGCAGCAGGGACTGGGGGGGATTCTGCTGGACGACGTTGAGGAGGGCCTTCCCAACTCTGCCAAGGCCATTAAGGTAAATACCCTTTTAGGCATTATGCTTTTACAGCACAAGTGTGGAAAGGGTGCGACCACTCAGCCTGCGTGGATCCTGTTTCAAAAACACATCCGTTCTGATCCGCTGCTCTGTCTTCAGGCTTTGGGGGATCAGATCATCTTTGTTACCAGGCCAGACAAAAAGAAGATCCTCTTTTACAATGACAAACACTGCCAGTTTATTGTAGATGAAGGCAAGTACCAAAAAGCATTATCTTCTTTTGTCATGGTCATTTGTTTTCCATTTTGTACTTCAATATTGATATTGCTCAATCTAATATATTACTGAAATGATTTTGTAGAGTTTCAGAAGCTGTGGAGAAGTGTTCCTGTTGATTCAATAGATGAAGAAAAAATTGAAGAGTATTTAAAGAAACAAGGCATTTCCTCAATGCAAGAAACGGGACCAAAAAAAGTGGTGAGTATTCATTTATTTTGGAAAAACATTGAAAAAAATCCGCACAGCTATGTAGCTCCCTTATTTACATAACACGCTGTAACGTTTCGGGCTGAGGCCATTCGTCAGACATGATCCATTTTATTTATTTTGAACAGACTTCTCTTTATTAACCTAATTTTCCTTCAGTTACCAGTTCAGAGGAGGAAGAAGCAGAGTGGACAAAGGAAACGGCAGTTCAAGACTCACAACAATCATTTGGCTGGTGTTTTGGAGGACTATTCAGAAGGTGTACCGGCCAATAAGTGAAACACCCTTTTTCCTTATGTCAGAAAGTATTTTTGAAGAGAACTGGTCGTGCCCAAACTACAATACAGACTTCTTTCCATCAGTCATTTTTGGTCATTATTGGTCTGGGGAGTCTTGGAATTATTTTTTATTTTGTATTAGACAATATAGATTGCACAGGAATTGTTGGAATTTCTTTAAAACTTATGGACCAGATTCAAAGTGTGAGACTAAGAACCAGATCAGCCTGGGCTGTGCATTATTAAACCGCTTTAATTGTTTTTAATAAATACAATTGTTGTAGAAATTGTGGACTATGATTACAAGCTTGCATGAATATACATGTTAACATGACAATGCATAATATATTACAAATGAAAATATTATATTTATTCAACATACAACTTTCAATTCAAATGTATAAAGCAGAACTAGAAAATAGTAGATATTATTGAACAATATTTATAAAAAGGATTAGATTTCAAATTATATAAGCAAGGCATAGTATAATTGGTTATACAGTAAGCATTTATTTTTGCCTTCACAAAACTTTCAAAATTGAGGTCTAGCTGGGATTATGACCTGATTTGACAGTCTTCTTCAGATGATGGTAGTTAGGTAAAATCTTCATCAAAAAGTCCAGTTGTAGAGTTTGAGGCTGAAAGTAAATGAGCATTGTCACCTATATTTCCTAAATGATCCAGACAGGTGCTGCGATGTGTTGGTACCTGTGGCCTCTCCGTCTGCACCCTCCTCATGCACCCGGAGCCGTAGATAACGGTGTTTTCAGGGATGACCTCACACGTGTTGACTCTGCAGAAGGCTCCAATAATGCAGCCGCTGGTCAGAATCACATTTCTACCAACTTCAGCTGCTCAAAAATGGAAGCTAGATCATTCAAAAGCCATTTGTGACAAAAATAATGAACTGTAAAGTACACATACCTTTTGATTCGATGACATTATTATCTCCAATTTTCAGAGCTTGGGATGCTAGAGAATGTTAAGGAACAACGTTTCATAGTATATTTAAAAAGTTTATTGGGAAAAAAAAAAAAACTCAAAGGATACTGCATCCCACTTCGAAAACATTATTGATCCCAATGGTCATCGTCTTTGGTTCAAATTCAGAATCTGGAGTAATATTTTCTGGATAACTACAATTTCAAAGAGTTAGAAAGACATGAAAAATGTAAAAGCAAAAAAGTATTTTACCCATTTATAATAAGTGCCTGCTCTTCAATCAAATTGCCTTCACCAATAACGATAGGTCCTGCTTCTGCAATGATCCGTGCTTTCGGGTGAACCACAGTCCTGGGACCTACTCAGAGAAATTAAACCTGGTCAAGATGCAAGGAAGTTACCAGTCCATGGAAACATCTGCCTACTCCAAGCTTCCTATTCTCCACAGCTGTAACAATATTCCAATGTGACACCTCCTGCGAGAAATGGCCACTTCAGGATCTGAGGTGGCCAGAGTACCGGTACTGGTTTGAGTTAAAGTTAAAATATAGAAATTGATAATAGTATTAATTTCAAGTCTTTGTAAGAATATTGAATTCATCCCCATAAGTGAATACTTGTATACTTTGTACAAATGCATGTAAGTTGCATTAACAGAATTTATGCACTTTCATATATAAACAAGCAAAAAAAAGGACATTAAAAACATGTCAAACTTAAGCACAAAGTTTTAAATGGCTGAATTGAAAAGTTAATTAAGGCTAACCACTATTTTTGAATTCACCTGATTCGTAAGATAAGATAAACTTCATTGATCTCACAATGGAGCAATTTACACGTCACATTTCACATTTGGCATGGATTTAATCACTCAGGCTGTGCAAAAAGACAGGAAGAGTGCAAACATGTTAAAAAGGTTAAAAACTATAGTCCCTTCTGTGCAAGATATATTATGTGCCTATTAGAGCTGCAACTAACGATTATTTTGTAACCGATTAATCTATCGATTATTTTTACGATTAATCGAGTAATCGCTTGGCTGTGAATTGTGTAGAAAAAAAATATTTTTTCATCACAAAAAGCTAAAGTGGCAACACTCGAGGACGTATTGATGGCGTATACTTAAAGTAAATGTTTGTAACAGGCTCTTTGTGCTAATTCTGCTCTGATTGGATGAGACAAACAGATATTCATGAAATTATAAAAACAAAGTTGGTTTTAATCAAAAATACTACATTTTCATGTCATTTTTGCTCTGTTTGAGTCCGTGTGAACCAGAAAACAATTAATCGATTACTAAAATAGTTGTCGACTATTTCAATAATCGATTAGTTGTCGATTAATCGATTAGTTGTTTCAGCCCTAGTGCCTATTAGATTTATAATAAGTTATTTAAAATATATTTTTTTAATTATCTAACCTTTATTTAACCAGGAAAAATCCCATTGAGATTAGGAACATATTTTTCAAGGGAGAAAAACAGAAAAGTACAGTACTCAAACTCTGTTTAGGATGAAGGGGTCCCAAATATCTGAACTTTTAACAACCCGCCCAATAAGTATGAGAACATCTTACCTATTGTTACATCGCCTCTGATTTCACTTTCAACACAGACAACAGCACCTACGGCTATTTTCACACTGAAACAAGAAGTAAACATTAACTCCATGTCAAAAGTTAGCTCAAGTAGCTTAGCCTGCTACTGTAATTGTGTATTCATAAATTGTTGCGCATTGTTGCCCCTGCTGTAGTTGTCAGCTTTTGATCATTAGCTTAAGTTGTGTGCTATTAGTTATTGCAGTAAAATAAAACTTCAATTACCCTTTTTGTGCGTTTAGTTTATCCATCACGGAGTTAGTTGGTGTTCTGGGTGCATGGATCAATCGGGGTGGTGCCGCTCTGGCCTCGATTACTACGCATCCAATGAGAAAAAAGTTTAATGGAGCTTTACCGCCACCTAGTGAAACTTTTGAAGTGCTACAACTTGGTAATAAAACATAATGATACATCGGTTTTATATAGCGCTTTTTGTACTCTCAAAGGCGCTGCACATGTCATCATGTATTCACTCAATTCATTAGCTACACCTGCCCTGTGGCACACTGACAGAAGCGAGGCAACCAGTGCCATCGGCCACACGACCACCACCACCACCACCATCCATAACCATCAGACTACTGGGCAATGTGGGTGAGTGGGTCTAAGTACATAACGACAGCCACAACCACCTATGTATCTATTATATTAACACCCACCCCACTATGGCACATGGTGTCCAACAAACAAATTGAGACAAACGTTTTAAATATTTTAAATTTCACAAAATTCAAGCTAAATAAGACTAGATAAGATTTATTCGTCCCACAGTATAGAACATATTCAGGAGGAGCACATAGATACTTAGCAGTAAATCTTAATCTTACTCATCACATCTTGCCTCTGACATATTATATTGATATATTGTATGATCATCATCATCATCATCATCATTATTATGATTATGATTATCATTATTATTATTATATTTTTTATTATTATATTTTATTATTATTATTGTTATTATTATTATTATTATTATTATTATTATTATTATTATTATTATTATTATTATTATTATCATTATCATTGTAGTGCCCAGTCTGAAATATGCTTGTCGCCAAGACATTTAAATTTGTCCCGTGTCGCATCCACTACAAAAATCAAAACAAGGAAGTCCGTGGGTGGGAGGTATTTGCTATGTCAAAAAAGAAACGAAATAAAAACACAGCTATCTCATCTTCAAAAAGCAACGCACATGCAAGCCACGGAACTATGAAAGACCGAGAAATGATTTATTTATCAGTCGTTGCTCTGGTTGTTTCATTATGTGTGGTGCCATTAACAGCAGAAGTGTCCTACACATGTAAGTTTCTGCTCTTCTGCCTCATGCCGTTAGCTTCGTGTTAGCTCTTTCGCTTTGGTTTCAGTCGTCTCTTTGTAATCTCCCTCCCAGATTGTTTTACGGATTAAATCAACATGTGACCTCGGGAATTGCAGCCTTTCCCCTCCGTTTCCGTTTCTTGGAGTCAGCTAGCTAGTTTGCTAAAGATTATGGGATCACGCTGACATGGTGCAGACATGTTTTTATGCATAGTATCTTGTGGTTTTATGGGGTGACTTACTTACTTAAATAAAGAAGGCAGCATTGTAGCAGCAGTTGTTGTTAGTGATGCTGTGTTTTTGCTAATCTATTTTTCTCTCCCATTTGATCACCAGCAAACTTTCAGAAACACCGTGCACTTAAAATGGACGAGGCTTTGCTGACTGTAAACAATGAACTCACCACTGATGTAGTAGTAACATGGTCTTCTCAAGAATGTTACCAGGTAGGATCCACTCACACATCACTTCTCCCAATATTGTATACAATCTCAATGTTTGCATATTTTTAGTGTCTTTATCAGAATCTTGGAGTGGTGAAAGCAGCACCGAGTCCTGGCCGACCTACTTCATCCGAATTTATTGTGAATACACAGCATAGACTCTTAATGATGGTTAATGGGACTTCAGCCAAGCAGCTTTGCAAGTATGTAATAGACACTGCTGAAATGTTTTATAAAATATACAATTAACATTATAATTCCACATATTGTATTAAGATTGTTTTGAAACTTTTATATTTCAGCATGATCGCATTTCACTTTGGAGAGCACGGAAATTACTCTCTTTGGATAAAAAATTTGAACAACAGCTCTGTAGCTGACTGTTCCATAGTGACGGATACAGGACCAGTGAACAGTTTCATACGTGTGTAAAATATCCCTGCATTTTCATTATTATACAGTATATTATATAATCTTGTATTCTGTTTTCTACATAGCACTTATCATAGCCTTTGTTGTCCTTGCTGGAGTGGCATTAATTTTTGCTGTTGGAAAAACGGTGTTGGGGTAAAGTATCAGATGCTTTTAAATGTATGAATCTTTTGAGAAGAAAGTCACAGTAATTGTCTTTGTATCCAGGCTTGAGACAATGAGAAGAGTTTTCTTTCAACTGACTGGTTCTATGGAAACAGAGAGGTTGATAAACTCTGTAAGATTAATAAATCCTTTAAAATGACAACGCTGTATTTTATATGATGAAGTTAAGGATGCTAGATACGTTATTTCTAATACTTATAGGAACTTGGATCTCCTGGGCGAACGGTTACTACAGTCGCTGACAATATATTGCCTCCTCCTCCAAGCCCCAGCAAAAGACTTCGATCACTCGATACTTTCAGAGGGTAAATACAAATACATTCTAAATTCATATGTGTTCTTAACTTGTAATAGTATTATTTTTACTTTTGTTTCAGTTTGTCTTTAGTCATTATGGTCTTTGTGAACTATGGAGGTGGGAGATACTGGTTCTTTAGACATTCAAGCTGGAATGGTAAAGTTATTTCTATTGTTGCGTAGTTACTTTTTCTGCAATTTTTTTCTGATAACACATTTTTTGTTCTTGTCTCTCCTAGGTCTTACTGTTGCGGACCTAGTCTTTCCTTGGTACGCCCCTTAATATATCCTGCATTTAACATGTTTGCACATTTATTTCTTTTGCACAATCTTGAGTGTTTCTATCCATGCCAGATGTGACATGTAAATTTCTCCTGTGTGAGATCAATAAAGTCTATCTTATCTTATGTTTTGTATTTAAACACACTATCAGACTTGGTTTCACTGTGGTTTGACTTTTTTCTTCAATAGGTTTGTTTTTATAATGGGGACTTCTATTGCTCTGTCAATCAACATGCTGCTGCGATCAGGCTCCACTCGTTCCTCTCTGCTGAAGAAGGTGCTGGGGAGAACTGTGTTACTGTTTGTTATTGGAGTCATCATCATCAACCCAAATTACTGCAAAGGACCCTGTCAGTATATTGTACTAGAAATTGTTTTTATTAACTTGAAAATTCATTAATTAATTGATTATTTCTAAACTTTCCTGCACTTAGTGTCCTGGGACAACTTAAGAATTCCTGGGGTGCTGCAGCGTCTGGCCTGGTCGTATCTGGTGGTAGCATGTTTGGATTTATTAGTGGCAAGAGCTCACCTTGATATAATTACTACGGTTAGTACATCTTTTTCTAGCTAATTATATTCATTATATAAGGCCAGACTTGAGATACTTTATCAATTGTAACTGATTGATTATTGAAAGAATCATCAAGTGGTTGGTAGTGATTGAATAGTTGCTTTTTGGACTTTATCCTGACTTCCATGCACTTACAGACACGAAGAATTTCTGTTCACCCAAACTAGTCTATTTTATGTAAAAAGTTCATTATGTCTCCCTATGTGAAAGGCCTAAAAGGCTCTCCTAATAAGGGAAAAGCGGAAAGAAGCTAGTACTGCTTAATTACACGTTTTGATGGTACTTCAGACTTTTATATTTTAAATAATTCAAAATATAAAAGTGACATCAGGTTTTCACAATCTATTCATAGATTATATTTGGACTAATCTTCTAGTACTGTAATAATTGTTATGGTTATGTTTCTAGGATACTTGGTGGTCCCCTGTTCTCGACATCTTACTTTACTGGCCATCCTGGTTATGCGTGATCCTCTTAGAAGTGGCATGGCTTTGTTTGACGTTTCTACTTCCTGTACCTGACTGTCCCACGTGAGTCTATATATTCGTGCAAAAAAAGTCATTTGCTAAATAAATGGCTGATATTGGAATTCTTTTCTTAAAACAATTTTCTCTATTGATTTGAAATACGCACTGAGTAACCTTTCAGGCAACAAGCTTGTTTTTTCCCATTTGAATGTGTATATTAGATACTACTAATCCTTACTGTGGGTTTGAATGGAATAGTGTTTTTTCCATTAGTTATAATCTTCCGCAGTGTTCCTTTTCACCATATTAACAGAATTAAAAACATTTCTAGTTGGGATTGAACTGACTTTCAATTTCATACTTAAATTTCATACTTTAATTAAGTTTTTAAGTGTCATACATACTGTACTATGCAACAGATAGGAATCCATTTTTTTGTTTTTGTCAAATAGTGGTTATCTGGGTCCTGGAGGAATAGGGGACATGGGTCTATATCCTAACTGTACTGGAGGAGCTGCTGGATATATTGACCGCTGGCTCCTGGGGGAGAAACACATCTTTCAGACACCTTCTTCTCGGGTGAGTGAGCCGCTAAACGACTGGACCAGAGCACAGTACCACACATTAGAGCTTGACTAACTGCTCATGTTGGAGACAAAGACGGAGAGAGCCACAGAAATTTGAGTCATGTGTAGTGCTTCTCTGTCTTTTGGGAAGACGGACCAGCACTGTGCTCTATGTTCCTGTATGACACTTGTGGCTCATTATTAGATATTTAGTTCATATTAAGATACAACAATGTTACACAAGAGTAGATAGTTCCTTATGGAATGCTTTTTCAGGAATGCCCCAACATCTGTGAAAATTGGTCACATCAAAGGCACTGCTTTGCTGCTAGTTGTTTCAATGCAAGAATACTTTTTATTTATTTCATTTAGAAATTACAGCGGAAGGCTTTTGAATCCTCCTTTTATCACAGATCTAGAAAAAGGAATTTGCACATGAAGTAAGAAAAGACCCAGGAGAGGTTCTTGGTAGTGGTGGGCAGAGGACTGAGGGGAGAGCAATGGCAAATCTGGTGTATGAGTATATGAATAAATCGTTTTTTGTAGTTTTTTTTTAGCTCAATTCATGCATGTGTTGAATGATGATAAAAAAGTCTCTTGAATTTTAACTGAAACTGAATAATGTTATAAAAAACTAATTTCTGTACTATTCTCCTTCAATGAATTATTTGTATTTGCCTTAAATGTATTTATTCTGTTCAATTATTTGAGCTGGTAGAATTTTTTTTTATTTTTATTTTTTTTATTAAACACCTAGCAAGATCAATAGCTTTTTTGACTCTATGTCCCTTTTCAAACGGCGCTTCATATATGGGACATGTAGGTAACACTGTAAACACTTGTTATTCACTACAGGTTATATATGCAACACAGACGCCATTTGATCCAGAAGGTGTTTTGGGAAGCATTAACTCAATTGTAATGGCTTTTCTGGGATTACAGGTGAGAAGTTCATTTTGGCTCCAATTGTTCTGTTTTTTTGTATACATATTGCTGACTTTCTAACTTTCATCAATCTTTTCCAGGCAGGCAAGATAATCCTTCACTACAGGGATCTTCATACGAGCATATTGTCAAGGTTTCTCATTTGGGGTCTTTTCTTGGTAAGACTTTGTATAATTTATTGTTGTGATAGCCTTACCAATTATTTTCATTGTTTTTTGTACAATACTCTCATTTAGGGAATTCTATCAGCAATCCTAACAAGATGCTCCAAAGACCAGGGATTTATTCCTGTCAATAAGAATTTGTGGTAATGGATGTAACTTTATTATTCTTGTGGAGAGTATGACATGAAGACAGATTGGTGTTTGTTTGTGTTGTAGGTCCCTGTCCTATGTGACCACTTTGGCTTGTTTTGCTTTCGTGCTCCTAGTGCTCATTTATTACATTGTAGATGTAAGAAAGTGGTGGTCTGGTGCACCTTTCTACTACCCAGGTAAAGAAAGTTCTCAATTTGACACCTTCACTATTTCGTAATTGACTTTGCTTGTTTACTTTTTAACATTGTTGATTGTAAACATATTTTTCAGGTATGAACTCCATGCTTGTGTATGTGGGTCATGAGGTATTTGAGGAATACTTTCCATTCTGTTGGAAAATGGTCAACACTCAATCTCATGCTGAGCATCTCGCACAGAATGTTGTGGCCACATCTTGTTGGGTCTTAATCTCATATATTCTATACCGGAAAAAAATCTTCTGGAAAATATAACTCTAGAAGAAATGCACAATGTTTATGTTTACATTCAAATTGTAAAAAGCCTTTTTACTGTGTTGACACAATTATAGTATTTTTCAGACTATGATTTATTAACAAAAGTTTTTCTACCAATCTCACTCAGGAAAATGATGATGTTACTTTGGGTGTCTGTAACTTCGTAATCGGCTCATGTCTTTATCTTGTAACGATTCACCTTTTTATGTATTGCAAAAGATACAACTTTCTTCATAGCAGTATCCAAATGCTGGTGATTTTTACCGAGTAATTCATGCCTGAACAGAATCTTTTTTTTATACATTTAAATATTTTTATAGTTTTAATTGTACATGCAAAATGTTGTATCATATTCTGCACTGTTCATAATTAAAGGATCTTGTGGATACATGACTGAGAGTCCTCAACAGATTTGGGATGTGTTCACACTGAAACAAAACAGTTTCAAAGATTTAAACTGATGTAAGTGACACATTTTATGATGGTTTTACATCCCCAATTAAAAGTGTTTTGATTAGTTTCTGTGTACATTCAGATAATGACTTCATATTCAAAACCCTGGAGATTTTTTTGAAGTTAAATGAAATGGCAGCGAAGTTGCAAGTTGCCAATTTTGAGCAAAAAGTATCTACTTAAATGCATGTACTTTAGACATTTCCAAACTAATTCAGGTTCAGTGAATAAGTAGAAATCTGCCAGAATAAGTAATAGAATTATTTTTATTGCCATTGTAAGTAAGTCACACACTTGGAATTTGCATTGGCATGTGGTGCAAACAAGTGATTAAAAAAAGTAGAAAATAGATTACATCAGGGGTTGCAGTTACGTTTGTGTCATAAATTATATACCGACGTACTCGTATGGATTCATCTAAAAACAGCTGTTTGGGGAAACAAGGTTGTAAGGTGGTTAAAAGCTCAAAATAAGCCGCTTTTGCATCTGAAGTCCTCCATGTTTTGTTTGTGTTGTCATTTTTTTCCTGTCATTATGGAACGATTACATGGAGACTAGTTATTAATTGCGGTCTCAAAGTAGGGTCCTCCAGCTTGAAGTAAGTTGTTCAATGTATGTTTTTTTTTTTTAACCCATCCCCAAACCAGTCAGTGCAGTGATTACTGATGTGAAGGTCCTCTTCTCACAGCTCAGACTTCGTGATGGAGGTGTGCTGCAGTTGACAGCCGTGGGAATCTGCTTACGGAGGACACTATTGTGAAAGGCTCGGTGTACTCTCGCGATACTTGCGCCCTGCACAATTCGTGTCTATTGTGAGAGTTTTCCAGATCTCGCGTGGCTTTGTAACTTTCCCACGCCTGTTGTTTTGGCGTCTGCCCTGTGCCATTCCTCCCCCACACCTCCCCCATGTGCACCTCCCCCATGGATCTGCCTCCCCCCTCTCCACGGCCCTTTCTCCCGCAGAGCCGCTGGGCCTGGAGCGGGGGGCGGGGTGGGATCTCGCGATTGTTGAACTTTTCTGGGGGTGAGTTATTTGGAAGATGGCGCCCGTTGTTACGGGGTAAGTGCAAAAGTAAAGCAGAAATTGAAGTTTTTTAATGATCAGAAAGTGAGTTTACTGTAAGTGTGATAGTAAGAGCGCGCCTGGCAGCAGCAGTAGTAGTAGTAGTAGTAGCGAGGGTTCCGCGTGGTGGCGGTGGGACAGTGGACTAGGGTCGGGCTGCTGGGTCTGTGCGGTCACTTGTTCAAAAGCTTTATTTTTACTTTCTCTCTGACGCTTTTTGTCACTGTTCAAAGCTGGAAAGCTCTATTATGTCAAATATCATACGCACGATTACATACGGTTCGTCTTTGAAATTACCATTGTGTCTGAAATCCAAGGAATTTCCTCTATACTGTCATAATTGTATACTAACTAAAGATTGGGGAAATTCCCTTTGAAAGTCTATTATAAAAGTAATTTTTCTAGCCAGGATAACATCTGTTAAGAATAACACGTGTTTGTGTGTGAATAGAGCATGTCATTAAAATTAATAATTAATTACACATTGAATTTAGTAATTTGATACACTATTTAATCATGCAATGTCATCGTCTGATATATCCTGTATATTATATCCTGTTAATGCTGCTGAGAAGATGAACCTTTTGCTAATACTTACTACTAACAAGGTATTACATTTGGAGCGATGTCGATCTCACATGTCCAAGGGTATCTAGATTCTACAATATACATAATATAGAAAACATTCAGGTTGTTCATGATGCAACCAACATGTTTTATGCTGTAGACATCATTCTTATTTTTCTGTTTTGCAGGAAGTTTGGTGAGAGACCTCAGCCTCAGCGTTTGACAAGGTAAACATGGATCTGTGCTAATTATTTCGGTCACTGATTTATCTTGTAAAGATTTCCTTATATTTTTGAAGTCCTGTCCCATTTCGGGACAGTTTGAATCTTACAAATGTGTGTCCCCCACCACAATTGATAATAGAAATAAAAATACATAAGTTTCATATGTTTATACATGGCATTATTCACTCTGTACACAATGGTGGTAAACTACTGCTGCCACAGCTGCCCTGGAGCAGTCTGATGTTTCAAATCAATAACTTTCAAAACAAATTGAATCTTAACTAAAATAGGAATAGACTGAACCAAAGTTTATTTGTACAATTCTATTATAAAGCCATAATGGATTACATAAACTTACAAAAGCAATTAGCTATTCTAATTTCCTTTTTACAGCTTAATATTTACAGTCTATGAAGTTACTAAAACATGTGTTGGAGTCACTACAGCTGTTAATAGTTAATTAGTTTTAAATGTGTTGCTCATGTACATTTTACACCTCTGTAATGACACTTGCTCAAATGTGTTGTCTTTTAGGGAGGCCATGAGAAATTACTTGAAAGAAAAAGATGACCAAACATTGCTAATTTTGCATGCAAAAGTTGCCCAAAAGTCTTATGGCAATGAGAAAAGGTAAGCCTGAATGTTAACTGAGAGATTACACAATGCCATGCTATTATGAATGTGTGATCTGGTTCCAGGTTCTTCTGCCCTCCACCATGTGTTTATCTGTTGGGAAGTGGCTGGCAGAAGAAGCAGGAGAAAATGGAGAAGGAAGGGTGCACGGAGCAGGAGGCCCAGCCCTGTGCCTTTATTGGAATAGGGAACAGTGAGCAGGAAATGCAACAACTCAACCTGGAAGGAAAAGTCTGTTATTTACAAATTAAGATTGTCTTGTTGCGACAGCGCTGTTACCAGATTAAAGCCAATGTCTATTTTCTTTTCCATTTCAGCACTTCTGTACTGCAAAAACACTGTATATCAGTGACTCGGATAAACGCAAACACTTCATGCTCTCTGTGAAGATGTTGTATGGCAACAGCGCTAACATAGGAGTCTTCCTGAGCAAGAGGATAAAGGTCATCTCCAAACCATCCAAAAAGAAACAGTCCCTCAAAAACGCAGACTGTAGGTTTGGTCCACAACATTGTGTGGCACATGGAACGTACGCTGTGACTGAATATATTTCTACCCGTCTGCCATTTTTCAGTATGTATTGCGTCTGGAACAAAAGTGGCACTGTTTAATCGCTTGCGCTCTCAGACGGTCAGCACCAGATACCTGCATGTGGACGGAGGAAACTTCCACGCAAGTTCGCAGCAGTGGGGGGCCTTCTTTATTCACCTCTGTAAGAAGCTGCACCTCCAACGTGCCACCAATGTATCCTCTGTAAACTAACGTGATCATTTTATACACCAGTGGATGACGAGGAGTCTGAAGGGGAGGAGTTTGCAGTGAGGGACGGATACGTTCACTATGGACAAACGGTCAAACTCGTCTGCTCTGTCACGGGCATGGCTCTCCCTAGACTGGTATGTAACCTGAACCTATTGGACCATGTTTTGACACGTGTAAACTTTGCCCTTTCAGTGTGTTGTTTCATCGTGTTGTGTTGCTATAGATCATCCGAAAAGTGGACAAGCAGAATGCGTTGTTAGATGCTGATGACCCCGTGTCGCAACTCCACAAATGTGCCTTCTACCTCAAAGACACTGAAAGGATGTATCTCTGCCTCTCACAAGAACGAATCATTCAATTTCAGGTCAGACCCCAGACTTCCCTATCCACCACACTAAAATGTACTTATTATTAGACTTATTAGACTGACATTCAAAGGGGAATAATGTAGGATTTTAGAAGATTTCAGATTTCAATGAGCAATGCTTTGTAGTGATTAGCAGTTTTTTTTCTCTCCCAGTGCAGGTTTATGTGGTAGATTGTTTTTTTTAACTTAGTAGCTTCATTCATGGATTTGTAAAAAAAAAGTTATTCTTTTACCTCCAAATCCAAAGTTGTGTACCTGTTTTTAAGCTTCACTTCAATAGCATGCATGTCTATATTTCTGACTCACCTGGCATCCATTGATACTGAGACATCAATAGGATGTCATAAAGTAATTGTTTTCATGCACTACATGAGCCTCCATCATTCGTATACTTTTAATGGATTTTGCAAACATATTGTGATATCTAATTCCAACCAAGCCTCATTTCCTATTATTATAAAATGATCCATATAAAGAGCCTAAATTAAATAGTTTTCTACACAAATGATACATACTTTTTTAGAGTAGTACATTATTATGGTACAGGAAATACATCTTGACTCCTACCATCTTCATCATTCATGTCCCAAATATTTCAAATTATGGCTGTTTTTTCCATATGATTTTTTTTTTTTTTACACATGAATGTATTTCAAGAAATAAAAGTATATGTATATTTTTTATAAAGTAGTGTGCATGTTTTTGGGTATCGTGTTAAGGGCTTATTTCTCTCCAGGCTGCACCGTGTTCCAAAGAGGCGAACAAAGAGGTCATTAACGATGGGGCTTCTTGGACGATTATTAGCACAGACAAAGCAGAGTACACTTTCTTTGAAGGCATGGGTCCTGTTCCCAATCCCGTCACCCCTGTCCCTGTGGTAGAGAGCCTTCAGGTACAGTAAACGTAACACTTCTGTTTAATTCAGGGACAATGCACATTCCTCAACATTTCTTTAAATACGCTTTATTATACACTCAATACATTCAAAAGCAGCAGGCAGCATGTTGTATTGTATTTGATATCCTTTGTTAGAAAGAAATAACTACAGATACAAGTGTAAAGAGTGCATACATACTGTATTCTTAGGTATGTTACAATTTATGCTCTAAACCATGTTTTCCAAATGGGTGAACATCAGCTTTATGGTACAGCAATGACTTAAGATGTGGTAAATGTAATCAAGTGTTAATGTCAAACATATTGAAATGTGTGATTTTTTTCCTAGTTAAATGGTGGTGGGGATGTAGCAATGTTGGAGCTCACAGGACAGAATTTTAGCCCTAACCTCAGAGTGTGGTTTGGAGATGTGGAGGCTGATACTATGTACAGGTAAAGTCATAATTACTACGCCTTTCTTCTTCCTTCTATTTTTAATATTCGTTATAATCCTCTGTAAAGTTAGGTGATGGTAAGAGATATGTGTGGTAACACTTGCTGGGTCTTGTTAGGTGTGGTGAGAGTGTCCTGTGTGTGGTCCCGGACATCTCAGCCTTCAGAGAGGGCTGGCGATGGGTGCGACAGCCGGTGCAGGTCCCCGTCACTCTGGTCCGAAACGATGGCATCATCTACTCGACCGCCCTCACCTTCACATACACCCCTGAGCCGGGCCCTCGGCCGCACTGCGGGGCAGCTGGAGCCATTATCCGATCTCAAAGCACTTCTTCATCATCACCCGCCTCCTCCTCCTCCCCTTCCTCTCTGGGCGGTCTGGGGGAAAGCCAGGGGGCATACAGTGGCAGTGACTCTGGCATGTCTTCTGGAGGTTCAACCATGTCACTATCCTCATAGTGAAGTTATTTCCCAAAGAGGCTCATGGACCTGCACTAACTGCACATAAGTGACTCTCACAGAGAAAAGATCTAAACGTGCTTTATTGAAAGAATCTTGAGGAAGAACTGCTCCCTCTTGTGGATTGGTATGGACATGTCGCCAAGAAATGGATGAAATTGAAAAACCAAACTTATTTTGAAGCATTTCTTTTAACAACCCATTGTGTTTTGAAAACTATTGTCAGGCTTTTTGTTTTCTTTGAATTTGAGGAAAAAAGCCTGCAAGGGAACATTTCATTGACCAAGGAATATTGTTATATTATTTTATATACATATTATATTTTATAAGCATTTATTGAGGTACATTTTTTGATATTTTTGTAATATAGTTTTTGTTTGTTACCAAATAGAATACTGCATATACTTATAAGATGTGGCATTGTAGGATGGTTGAAAAATACTTTTTGTATTACTCCACTGATATGCCAAGTTCATTGCTGTATTTCAGAATACACCATTAGGGTCATTCACCAATCACTGTTCTCATACTGGTTAAAGATTGGTCTGTATAGTTAACCTTTGCACCATTGATTTTAAAAATAATTTTAGGACAATATTGAGACTGATACTATGTATTAAATTGTATTTTAAATCATAGAACATTATTAAATTATGAGGGTGTATTTTTCTTTCAATGTGTTCTAGTGTTCGGTCAGTTGCTGCCTGGACATGCTCAGCAGGTCAAAGCTGCTAAACTATTTTTAAACGGGAACTATTGCTGCAGTGAAACCCGACTCTGATGCTGCCGATCTGTGTTTATGGTTTGTTGGTGTCTCTCAAGTCGCAACAAATAATTTTAGTTCAACGTGATCACTGGCTTTGTCTGTCTAATCACATTTCCAGAGAGATGTCCAAGAAATGTCAAATGGCAGTACACAATTAGAACCACCATTTAAAGATCTGTAATCAGTGCTGTACAGCTCCTACAGGTACTCTGGGTCTTCCAGCTACAGCTTTGTCTATATTTGTAAATTAAACGGTAGTAGTGTTACAGTTTCAGCTTTTTCTATTTCAGACCTGCACTATAAGTAACTGCATGAGTGCATTTCTGTCATCTTTCTATTTCCATGTAGATGTTAATGCTTTGCATATTCTTCCACAATATCACATTAAACTTGCAGACAACGACGTGACAGCACCATCCTAAAATGTGTCTTAAAACAGGGATGGATTATATGTTGTTTTGTTTGTCTCAACAGGAAGTGTCTTGTAAAAGTAGTATGTTATGAACAAACCAGACTGCAACATGCTGTCTTTGTCATATTAGAAAACACATGGGCTTTCACATGCTTGAGTCACTGTTTGATTCTTTGGGTTGATCTAAAGATGTGACATAGGCCAAAAATGTAAACTATGTGAGAACTAAACTGTTTCATTCCATAGTTATCTTGAAACTCATTGATAGTTATCTCCAGTTATATCATCAGTTTAACGGCAGGCTTGTGTTTGGGCCTATTATGTTAGACATGGCTCAATCCCGAATAATGTATTGAAAATTAGAGGTTTGTTTCAAAACATTGTCGTCATAGCTGGAGAAAACTGGAAATGTGAACTTTAATGCTAATCACTGGAGACTTCCAACAGTAGCACAAAAAACGTGTATGCTCTACATTTGTTTGTTTTGAGGTGGGGGGACATTTGAGGAGATGCAGTGTGTGACCAGCTGCTGAGAGGCTGCGTGCCATAACGTCACATCTGAAAATTCAAAGAAGCCACATAAGAGAACTGTAAGGAGAGTAAAAGACGCAATCACCAACTAAAAAAAAAACACACACACACCGGAGGAAGTTTGCAGCCAGTGGAGTAAACGAACAGTGGAGAGCGACGCGTCCTTTGTTTTGGATAACTTTTACGCGCGGTACTGGCGCTCTTCCCTGGCTTTGTGGTGAGCTTCCTAAACCTGTCCAAACAAGCTGCATTTTATTATCTACTCTAAAGCGAGAAGAAAGGCTTTCTCCACTGAAACATCGGTGTCACATCTCTGCATCCGTTATAGAAACACTTTGCGCAAAGACTTACGGCCTTTACTTGTGCCGTCTCGGAGCGTGCGGAACCCTTTGGACACATTTCCAATGCTTTTCTCCCGTGGACAGCGTTGTTGTTAACCAGAATGCTACTTCTCTCATATCTTTTGCTGCTGATGTTCCCGGCGGCACTTCTTGCAGCGGCTCAAAGTGTTGGAGATTTACACCGCTTCAGTCTTCCACACACTTTTGACCCAACAGGTAGGCTGTGTTTTCAATCAGCTCCATTATGTTATGTTATATATTGTTAAAAAAAACAACTAAACTACAAATAAATTAGCTTACATGATGTGTAAGACAGCCTATTTATACATTTTGTCCACGGTGCTACTTTGTTGCCCCAACCCCCCTCATACATTTAAAGACTGGCCTATTTCCAAATTATAATTAGCTCTTTCCGCATTATCTTTCTTTCTTAATAAGAAAATACGTATGTATTGACCACCAATATGTACATACTGGTATTGGCAATATTTGTGGATTGAGGTCCAGGCCAATCATATATTTTTTATATACATATATCTAAACTCTACTTATGTTTATTGTACTAACACTCTATTTTGACTTCTTACTGTAGTCCCAAAGGATTTATTGCAGCTGCTTCAACTGACCCACCTCTGACCCTATAGTGATTTGAAGCAGCAGTCAGCACTGGCACAAGAGGCTGGTTTGGGGTATGACTCAGTGGTCAATGACAGGAAGCCCTCATGTCATCTTCCCGGACTCTTACAGCTGGTAATACGGGCTAAAGCGGTTCCACTCTGATGATATATATTTTATTCTGTCAAATCCAGAATGCTATTCCAACAGATTTCATAGGAAAACATCAAAACTTTATCCTTTATGTGATTGTTTCAAACATGTGTTGTTTCCTTTCCTTCTTTTTATGTGGCATGTGGATATTGAAATGTGTGATCTTAGGGTTTTCACAGGCATTCTTCTGCCCAAGTTTCTTGTAATATCCTAATGAAGTTTCATTAATCCAATTTACGTGAATGGTAGACCCCTGCATGGTGGTGACACCGCCATGTATGAGCGAGGCGGACCGCTACAGCCTGGAGGCCCTGAGGAACATCCATCAGATGATGGATGATGACCATGATGGAGGCATAGAGGTGGAAGAGAGTGTCGAGGTACACTTTACACACAAGTATGGATTTGACACAGATTTGAGAAGGATCAATATCTAAGGACCTGAGGCACTCAGGGATTTCAAACCCATATGATTACTGTACTAAATTTTATTATGCACCTCTCACACAAAATGTGAAAACTTGAGATGACTACATGTACGGAACATGTGTAGATTATGCAATGCTGATTTCCTCATCCTAAACAAATAATTGCAAACATTCAGAGGGTATACCACAACGACAAAAATGCCTCATGTGGCTTGTCATGTGGCTTCCTACAGAAATGATGACAACTACATCTATGCATGTTTAAAAGTATTGACTGCTGCATGCTGGGACAGGGCAGCCCACGCTTCCTAAAGGTGACCCTCAGGTCACTGAGACTCTGGCGTTCAGGGTATACGACAACTCAGATGTTTCCATAGATTTTCTATAAGATTTTGTATTATGTAAGGGAAATGGAGACCAACTGAAGTAAACAAGTCACCAATAGCAGCCTCTCTAACGAAGCGGTCTGTCGGTCAGAGCATGTTCATATGGATGCATCATGTTCTTCATAGGATAGATACTCCTGCCACACTGTCACGCCGCCAAAGGCTGCTGCATATATATGTCTTATTTTACAATGTGGTGGGTACAATTTCTGCTCAACGAGGATCAACCATTCAAAACAATGTTACCTGTACCTGCCGTGTGGTTGGGAACTCTGGCTAACCATGTTGATGTTAATGGAAGGAATGGTGGAGAACTCTTTAGTTGATTCGGGAAAGGTCCTGGTAGATTCATGGATCAAACATGTGTTGTAAATCTGTCAATAACATCCTTGTTAAGGAACTCCACTAGAGCAAGTTGTTTATTTAAAATAAAGAGACAATCGCATTAAGTTCACCTGTTAAGGTTGAAGTACATTTTAGGGACATTCTGAATTTTCACACATTGTAACGCCACACTCAAACCATAAGCAGAGCCTTTTGCGTCTCCATATATCTGTTCATTAAATAGGCTCCTGCAGTAGTTGTCTACTTGTGGTACATGACTTCATTCTTTTGGCACTTTGGTTCCTCTGCAGTTCAGTATTTTTGTACATTTCAATCCACTCCTTTTGGCTTAAACCCTCAAAAAGAACCAATATAAAATGGTGCAGTATGTAAGATTTTAGTTGTAAACCATTCCCAAAGTTACATTTTATCTAGCTTCGATATGTGGTTCTTAACAGTTATGCTGTACATGTCTTACGTAGACCATACGGCGTGTTTACGTTTGTGGAAAGGTTGGCAAGTTGTTTGGACTTGTGTCGAGTGCAGCCGACTGAAGCTGTCATTTATCCCATTGTCAATCTGACTGTTCTATAGATATTTACTTTATTCATCCCAAATGAGTAAATTCAAGCACTTTCTTAGCAGATGTTGTAAAGTTTTATAAATTATTTTTTTTTACTCAACCTTTTAATCCAGCATGTTTTCAGAACTTGAAGAAAGCAATGTAATTTTTTTCTTTTTTGGATTTTCTAAGATGTAGGAGCATTAATAATTACACAAATTATTGTTTTGACTTGTTTTTATTTAACCACTATTTAAAATAAAAATAAAAATCGTAGGCCTTAATGGTTAGTAAAGGTGACTAAAATCAAGTGAGATGCCCCAAAGTGGTATAATTCAGCAAGCCTGTTTAAAGTACATATATTAACTCAAACGGCGATCTACCAAATGTCTGAGGAAACCATGTACTTATTGAGGTCATTATTCACCAGATCAGCCTTGAACAAGTTTTCAGTATTATATAATCCCTATGGGGAGGAATTTTACTTCCTGATCTTGGATTCTCCTCCCCCTATTTTGGAGGACAATCAGATAATTAGTCCAACATTAATGTGACATCCGTTATGAGAATCAGTGATGCCCTAGATTGCTGTCCATAGTGCGCAACGCAGAGGAGCTATTTACCCCAGCGTTTGGAGAATGCAGGACTGGGACACTATATCCAGGGGCTCCGGTTGCCGTTACTATAGAGACATCTAGGAAGGGGGTCTCGGCTCATCCCCACACGGTCTAAAAATCCCTCCGCATCAAATGAGGCCACCGTTTACAGCCAAGGACGGATTCCAAGACACTCTTACACCGACACTCGCACATTAATGCCATTAAGGCTTATTTGAATGACCACAGTCTACAACCACAGTCGTTTTACACTGACTTTCATTTTTGCGATAACTATTATATCTACTGTATAGTTCAAATCACTAAATATATATCACTCAAACTGTAAACATGTGTTGGAAAATTGTAGTGGAACATAATATCCCCTTAGCTGCATGTTTGCATGTTTCATCTCAGTATTTTAGACTTCATTTAAGACAAAATATGTAATCATAAAAGTTGCAATCATGTACAATATTACAATAAGTCTTTGTTAATGAATCATATGTTAATAAATTGCATGTAGTGATATTATAGATTCATGGTAGTGACATTTCATAATAATGTTGAGATGAACATTGAACATAAAATAAATAAACACAGATTCAGATGCATTTATTTGCCATTTGCAGTAAAACCACATTGGAATACATTTGCAAAAGTCCCCAGTGTGCACCAGACAGGCACATAAATAAAACAAGATTAAAAGTATAGAAAAAAACCCCAAACAAAACAGTAAACAATACACACAATCGATCGACTAAAACAGTTCCAATACAAGTGCAAGTGTCACGTTCTGAAAAGGATGATGGACCCAAAATGCAGGACTGCCAAAAAATAAGATTTAATAACAAACAAAAAATAACAAAATCCAGGATACAGAACTTAAAACTTAAACCAGGACGAAACAGGGACAAAAACACAATGGACCAACAACAATGGGAGAGGAGTACAGAGATTAAATACACACAGGGACACACAGGTGAAACAGAACAGACATCAAGTAACACTGAAAAGAACGAATATATCAAAATAAAACCAGGAAAAGTAATCAAAGTCCACACCATAACAGCAAGATCTTAAAAGTGCTTCAATACATTCAACGTATCAAAACCAATGATTATTGTTTATTATAATTTCATAAGTGAAACTGTGTATTTCTCCTGTGTTTTGAAAGTTCATAATTGAGGATATGAAACAGCAGCAGACCAACAAACACAGCAATCTGCACAGGGAGGATCAGCACATCACAGTGGAGGAACTGTGGAGAGGCTGGAAGTCTTCCCAAGGTGTGCCAGAGAATAACACTAGAATAATAACACTTTGTAAATAAACATTCTCTGACTACCTGTATGACTTTTCAGTACATAACTGGACACAGGAAGAAGTTCTGCGCTGGTTGAAAGACTTTGTGGAGCTGCCGCAGTATGAGAAGAACTTTAAAGAGTTTAAGGTCACTGGAAACACACTCCCGAGGTATGAATGGCATGTCCTCTCACTTCTAATGCTTTGCTCTTCTAATTCTTTGCACTTTTTCTGTTTTCTGTCGTCACTTAAATGAACAAGAAATGTATGAATTATCAAATTGTACCAAGTATTGGCCTATAAGATATCCTTTCTCGTGTATGCTCTCAGCCCGGTCTTTTCTCATTCTTATCTATCCTTGAATCTCTGTTTTAAAACAATTCACAGGATTGCAGCAAATGAGCCGGCCTTCTTGAGTGGCCACCTCAAAGTCCAGGACCAGAGGGATAAGCAGAAGCTCAACATAAAAGCACTTGATGTGGTGCTCTTTGGGCCGCCGACACGTAAGTTGGGGCGAATCAACACAACATTCATTATTTCATTTAAAGTAAATCTAATGTGCAATATGTGGCAGCGCCTAAACCACCATTTGCACTCATAACTTTTAGGAAAATGTCTTTTATTCTACTTTTACCTTAAGTTATATGGTCATTATTTATAGTATTCATCAGCAGTATCTCTTTTCAGGACCTCATAACTACATGAAAGATCTACTGCTTATTGTGTCCTTTGTCATGGGAATTGGTGGTTGCTGGTTTGCCCAAACCCAGAATAAAATCAGCAAAGTCCACATTGCTAGGATGATGAAGGATCTGGAGAGTCTTCAAAGTGCAGAGCAAAGCCTTACGGAGCTGCAGGAACAGTCAGTATTAGGCTGTCCACTCCATGTTGTGTCCACTCTCTGAATGTGACGTGTTTGTCCTGAACAGACTAGAGCGTGCTCAGGAGGAGAAGCGCAGTGTGGCAGAGGAGAAGCAGACTCTCGAGGAGAAGATGAGGGATGAGATCATGGGAGCTCATGAGGAAGCACACCGCCTGCACAAGCTGCGCCAAGGAGCCGTCAATGAACTCAGCCGCCTGAGATATGCCGAAGAAGAACTGGAGCAGGTGCTGTAGCATAGAAACAAGGCTAACAACCTTGAGCCCATTCATCTCATCACACATGTTACACAAAAGTGTTTCCAGAATGTGGCTTGCAACAACATATCGTTAAATATAAACATGAAAATAACGAAAGTAATGAAAGAAAAAATATAAAAACAGTAGAATGAAAACTTTAGACATTGTGCTGTATAATGCAGTTCTCACACACATAATGTAGTGAAGCGCTCACACAAGTCCTTGTAACTTAATTTGATAGAGGTCCAATAACTTTGAAACCAGTTTTAAAACAAACTATTAATAGCAATGAAATGAATATATGAACATTTGGAATCAAAACAAAGTTCTGATTCCAAATGTTCCCCCCCCATGGATGGATATTTTACATACAACAATCTTTTAGGCGTTCTAGTAGATTCTATCTTGTGTTTTTGTGAAAGGTTCGTGAGGTCCTAAAGCAGGCGGAGAAGGACATGAAGGCCAGTTGGACAGCCACTGAGGCTCTGCAGCACTGGCTGCAGCTCACACATGAAGTAGAGGTTCAGTACTACAACATCAAAAAGCAGAGTGCTGAATCCCAGCTTGCAACAGCCAAAGAAGAAGTATGACCCCTTTCTTACATGCATGCGCACACTTTATAATAATCATTTGAATTTGTTAGGCAGAAAGAATCAAGAAGAAAAGAAGCTCTGTGCTGGGCACTCTGCATGTGGCCCACAGTTCATCTCTGGACCAAGTTGACCAAAAGATTCTGGAGGCAAAGTAAGTTACAGTTTTAATATAGTATGTAATAAACATATCTAACTATATTTTTGGTGTCTTCAATGCTCCATAGAAATGCTTTATCTGAAGTAACTGCCTGCTTACGAGAGCGGCTCCATCGCTGGCAGCAGATCGAGCGCCTGTGTGGCTTTCCAATCATGAGGAATGTAGGCCTGACAACCCTGACTGCTCTGCTCTACTCCGACCCAACAACGTATGGTCTGCATCGAGTTTCCCAGTCTGGATGCATGTACCACAGTGCTGTCCATGGATCTATTGAGGATCTTCTGGAGGAGACTCCTATGATTCAGCAGCTGCCAGGTAAGCACACAGACTTCTCTCACTGGCTTAACAGAAGTTCTATTGTTTGAATCTGTTGCTCTTTAGTCCCAGTGGCACCAATGAAGTGCTCTCCTCAACTGCGCACCTCTCGAGTGTCTCGCAGCCGCCGCTCTGGTGTTGTCACACAACCCCCAGTGTCAACGATTTCGTCTGACCCCGACCTCCTCATTCCCATCCGTGCCCCATATCCATGCTATGATGAAGATGAAGTAATTCTGCGCCACACATTGAAAAAGCAGTAAGTCAGCTAAGTCAACACATGGCAAACAACAATCATTCTGGGAGGGAATCGGTTGCAGAACATGCCAAAAAACACTTTTTTCCCCGAAGCAAACAAAAGCACCCATGGATACTTCAAAAGACCTGTAGTTTGGGCAAAACTGTTGAGTGTTTCCTTTGATAATTTGTGTCTCTGTTTTCTTTTCCTTTTTTTTCACTGGCAGAGATTCCCAGGAAAAGTATGGTGACGAAGCCTTCACATCACATTCAGCTAGCAAACTGTATCCAGGGACTCCCCTTGATATCCCTCATCGAAAACATTACCCAGATGAATCTGAGCTATCAGCAGATATGTCTCCGTCCAAAGTCAGAGATCCAGATGAACCAATCGAGTCTCCAGTTCACAAAGTTTATGTTGAGGAACTAGAAACCAGCTCGGATTTAGCCACCAGAAGGATGACCCAAGACACAGATCAAGATTTCACCCTTGAAAATCAAGCCTTGCGGACATCTAGAGAAGAACACCCATTGATGATTTTTCACGATGTGGGTGAATCTCCCATTGATGCCAAAAAGACCATACACATGGATTTTGATTCTGATATTGCCTCAAGAAGATCAGAGCGAGATACACTGGCCGAATTCTCTGACTCTTTGTCAAGAGGAGGAACTGAGTATCCCAGAGATTATAGGAAGATCTTCTGGTCTGAAGTTGAAGCCTCAGACCGGGATCCACGGAAACTAACAAGAGGTATGATGGGAATGTCAATTGACAGTGTTCCTAAAAAGCTGCAAAGAGAGGAGGCTGGGTATTCCTATGAATCATTACCCAGAAGCCTTGGCAGAGAGACCATGGGGATGTCTTTTGACGCTGGCTCAAGAAAAATATCTTGGACTAAGGGTGATTTAGATGGTAAGAAAGTGGGCTTGGACAAAATGATCGACATGCATCGTAACCAAACAAGACGAGTTTCCAGAGAAGAACTCGAGTATCCTCCAGAGATGGGTTCCATTCGCATGATTCCTCGAGAGATACCTGCAGATGCGTGTTATCCAGATGAACGACCAGAATATGCCTATGAGCAGATGAGCCAAAGGATGTTTAGGGAGGACCATGACATGTCTGCCCCCTCTATAAGAAGAAGGATACCAAGAATGATGGACAGGTCAACGGATATACCCACGAGAAAAATGGCCGGTGAAAGAACTGATGAATTTCCTGAACATCTGCAAATGAGAGAAGACTTAGAAGAGTCAAGCGCAGAGAGTATCAGTCAGCCAGATATCACAGCAACGTTCCAGGTGCCATGGATTCCTTGCTCTGAAACTTGCCATGTGGGTCCACTGAGCCAGCTGGTCTACGATGGGATTTTAGAGAAGTCCTGTCATTCCATGGGCACCGGAGCAGCTGGTTTGTCGGCCTCCACTCCCAACCTGCGGCAGAGTGGTGTGACTCGGGAAGAGTCCACGGTCTTGCCCACACAGGCCATACATCCAGCCTGTGACGTGTGCCATGAGCCAGTAGAGGAAAAGAAGGACAAAGACAAAGGAAGGAAGACTTTAAAGCTAAAAAATCTCTTCAAAAAGAAACGCGAGTCAAGTCCAGAAAAGTCTCAAAGTGGTCTGCAGAAGCTTTGACCTTTAGCTACTGCAGATTTGCTTGTTTTACTACGTTGAATCATGTTTTATAAAAGTTGATTCTTTTTCTATTTTATTTTATTTAGTTAATCAAACCCAGCAAGTACCCCCGATGTATTGTGAGTGTAACCTGCATTGGATTTGGGCCTATCCATGTATAGTTGAAAAAGAACCATTTTATAAAGGATTAGGTTATGTTTTAAAATGAAATATTTTTTTATTTCTATATTTGAATACTTTGATTACATTTGATTACATCATTTGTAAGAAGGGTTAATGCAAAGAATATTTTTGTAAAAAAAAGAAAAGAAAGACAAAGTAATGTAAATGTTTTGTGTGATTGAATAACCTCTGAACCCAGAACTGTGACAAGTACCTGCACAAATATATAATAAGTTGCGTTAATGTTTGAGAAATGTTTTTTTTTTTTTTAGATGGAGGGGAATACAACTCTATTGGAAAGGAGAATTCTTCAAAGACAAATTGTGAAAAAGAAATTGCTTTCCTTGATGATCATTCAATAGCTGCACAAACCTTTAATAGTGTTTTTCTACTGGACAACATCTCGCATATGTTTTTTTTAATATTGTCACCGGTTCTAGGCCTCTGTATGATAAATTAATATGTTTGACAAAGAAGATGTGGAAGTTTTGTATTTCATGTGGATTGGCCCATTACAGTAGTAAAGTAAAATTTGTACCAATTAGTTAAACCATGTTTCAGCTTTGGAGCTAAGAAAGCATCAAACAGTGTTCCCTGTTCCAGTACTCATCTTTTTGGTGCTTTCACATCTGCATAGATGAAGTATTTTCGCCTTTACAGAGTTCGTTAGCCTGGATAATGTGTTTCTTTATTACAAACTGGAGATGTAGCCTTCTTGTTCAAGACGTTTTATTTATTATTATATTTTAGTAGCTTTATTATGACACTATTTAAGGTAAAAGGTACAAGTAAAAGTTTAAAATACATATTTTCTATCTCAAAAATAGGAAACCAAAAGAAAATAAAGAATGATTTAAACAGCAGCTTTTATTTTGCTTATTTTCTTTCAAAACACATATTTTGAAATCTACAAAGCAAAATGGAAGCAGGCACCAGGACGTCATGTATGACATCATTATTTGTATCTTATATTCATTTTGATTGTATCCTTTTATGTTTTGCTTTATTTTGCCTTTTACTAGATGAAGTTGATGTGAAGGGCCAAGCCTTTCCCAGTTCACATCACAGGATGGGCCTTTACTATCAGACAATTGATTCTACTATTTTAATATCCACGAGGGCCTGTCTTGTTATACCTCGTTACACATTCATAATGTCCAGTTTATTACAGACTTTCACTTTTATATTGAAACATCTGTTTTCATTGCACATGAGGGCAGAACAATTGCTGAAACCTTTGGCTACGTGCAACAGTGGGATGTGTGTGTTTGTGTTCACCACATGTTTAGGCTTTTTGAAATAAACAGATGAAATCTGGTGGTCAACAGTTCCTGTCTACATTCTGTCGACATAAAAAAATACATAATACTCAGCATTATTATTTGAACAATGAAGTGTGTTTTTTAACTAAAAAAGATAATTCTTTCTAGGGGGGCATTAAGTTATTCTCATATAGTTTAAAAAGTATCAAGAAATGTTACATTTTGTTCTTCTCTTTTTTAGGATTGCTAAATTCCTCAAATTAGAAATGAGTTTTAATGTTACCCTTTAAGGTTGAGGTACATTTTAGTGGTTTTACTACTCTTTTTTTTTTTTTTTTTTTTACTACTACTTTTATTCTTTTTAAAACCCTTGTCGAAGAGCTCATGGATTCTCATCGACACACACACACACACACACACACACACACACAGACAAAGGACATAAGGACACAAGTCTTAAAGCTTTTCGAACCGGTGTAAAAGTCCCAGATCGCCTGGACTGAAGACGAGAGCAGACAGCTGAAGGATGGCGTGGAGGAAAACGCCTGAATCATCTTTGACAGAGCAGCAGGTCGAGATCAGAGAGACTTCAGAGCCTTCAAAAGTGAATCAGGAGAAGATAAGATATTGATCTCACACTGGAGAATCTTACTGGAGAAACTATGTGAATGCTGCTCTCTCCTCTCACACTGACACTCTCACACCATCACAGCAAAGTATCATGGGAGTTCCCACAAGTATGAAAGTATTGTTTAACTCATTTTAATCACCTAGTCTACTTTGTAGAACAGCCTGGGGCCTGTCCATCTTATAATAAATATCAATGATAAATGAATGTGTGAATAATAAGTAATTCAAGCATGAGCATAAAACAATAAAAAATTTATCACAAACTTGTGGTATCATAAATATTATAGTAAACAATACATATTGATACATAGATTACATATTTCTCACAATAAAGTAATGCTCTTTGCATGAAAGGGAGTGAGAAAAAGCAAAACAATTGTTTACTCCCCCACTTACAAAATAAAACTAAACACTGGATACTGTCCGGTACAACATAACAAAAGTACAACAACGTTTTACATTATAATATTCTGTAAAGATGTCTCTTTGTCAACTTCTGTTTTTAAGCAGGAACATAACACTATTTAGAACGTTTCATCATATTTATATCTCATTAACGTATTTTTTTTGTATTTAGATTTGATTTTGAATTTCCATGATGATACAAAAGTGAATAACAGGGGAATGAACAGCAGCCTCACAGTTCACACATGGTCTGCAGACCATGTAGGCAGTCCAAGATGCCAGAAGTTTCTTTTTCTCGACCTCACGCCGACTACAGCTCAGGCGGCATCTTGGAGAAACCTCCAACCACAAGGCCTTGAGGTCGGTGTGGTCTCAAGCACAACTAATTTTGGCAGAGAGAAGGTATAAGAAAAATGCCCCAAGTTCATGTTCTGACAGGTTGAACCACTTCTTTCACAAAATCAGTCATTCACAATGTTTATTTCAAAACCGGAAACATCATACATAACAACAACAACATATTTTCACAGAAAGTAACAGACAGTTTTGAAAAGGAGTTGGATGAAAGACCATTTGGAACAAAAACAACACTACACAAGTAATACAGAAGAACAGTGTCTACTCTAATGGATCTTATTTAAAGCTATTTATTAGAAAAATATACACATAAAGATGTGGACTACTCAATGGTTGATGATTTTCTATGTAATCAGGTTTGAGCAAGGATCTGTTAATCCGCTTAAGAGATAATAATAACAGCTGTAAACCGCTTTGTGACTGGCGGTATATAAATAAAGATTACTTACGTACTTATTTAAGAGTAACTCCTCCACTGAGATACACATTGGTTTTATGTTTTTTGTTTTCCATCAGCATCCCTATTATGAATTAAGTTTTGCACATTAGGTGCTGAGAGTTCCCACATGCCCTGAACATTGTTTGAGCAGTTTAAAGTCCTTCAGTTTAAGTTATTTTAATTACAGTGGACTAGAACGCTGTCTATATAGACGACATTTGATACAATCCTTATGGCCTTTTTGCGTGTGAGATTTGTTTCCACACACTTTTTAGACACAGTTTAGATTCTACGTTATGAATGAACAATACCATATAAGCAATTTAAGCTGTGGTGCTCAGCAAAATAATTCCAACACACTTTTATAACTCTTGTATATATATTTTGTTCAACTGTTTCTGTTGAGGTATCACCAACACCAGCCCTGACCGCTACATTACTTCTATTTTTGCTAAAAAGCATTATGCACCTATGTTAATTGCAATTAAAACATTACCTCAAAGTGAAAAATAAAAACTATTTCAGTTCGCACACCCTTTTCTCTTCCTGATTGCAAAATCACAAAGAGGATTGATTCCACTTCATATGGGCAAACTTCAATAATACAATGCAGGTTTGATTATATGAGAGGAAATTGTGCAATGTCCTGATAAAACAACTTTCTTCAATACAAAAAGTAACATGTTTCACTGGTTCCTCTGATTGGTGAAACATATTCTTCTAGTTGTGTTCCATCAAATAAAGAGCAAAATCTGTCGCACAGACTATTTCTTTTTTGGTCAGTCAGATAACAGCAAAACACCTTCACTATGATCGATACTATTTTCTTGTGTTTCTCTCAGTTCAGACTCTGGACATCTTGACGGCAGAGTATGTGCAGAAGTCAGCACGGGAGCTTGTTTTCCTCGGCCTCTGTGAGGTCTGCCGGATTTCTAAAGCAGCGTAACACACTTCTTCATCCTGAAATTTCATGTTGCAGCAAAGGGGTTAGAGGGAATCGTGATGTGAAACAGAAAGCCACATCTGTAAGGAGCAAAACATCGACTCAGACCAGAACAAATGCTAGACCTTTTTTAAAATGGACCTATTTGTATGTTTGCCTTAAATATACCATAAGTGATACCACAAAATGCCTTTTGTATATAACTTATATATTAGAATTGTATTAGAATTATTCCTTTTTGTAGTTTTTGTGACTGTTTGTGACTTCCTGTTACTTGCAATGGCAAAACAAATAATTCTGATTCAGATTTACCGTGGTTGACATACTTAAAGGCACTTCTTGTAAGTAAGAGCAATGTTTTGGTAAATGGCAACATGATAGCCACAAGTGTCAGAGTAAAAAAACCTAACGCATTAGCCAAACAAGAACTCAATCTACGCTGCAAAAATATGATTTAAGAACTGCTTGAAAATAATGTTTTCCTCATCTTAAATGATATATTTTGTCTCCTAAAACAAATTATGTCCATGGTAAAAGCATATAAGTTCCTCCTGTTCTCTGGATCTAAATGTTTTAATACTTTTTTAAAATAATAATATTCTGTGAACATGCATTTTTGAAAAGAAAATAAGTAAGTAATGTTTATTTCTATAGCGCTTTTTACAGAACAAGGTCACGCAACGCACTTAACAATTGTTCAGAGCTCAGAAAGTTTTCCATTCTCTCCACACACGGTGATGACGGAAGCAAGTCGCCGAACACACTGCCGCATCAAACCCTCCGACCAAACACCATCCATTCA